TAGTGATTCAGCAGTCCAACCATGACCCACACCGTCACCAGGGCTCCCTGTTGGTGGAGGACTTCTTCGTTGTATCCTGGCTACTGAACTCTTATGAGATACATACTTTTCAAATGGAAGGAAACCTGGGAGAGTCAGAATATGTGTAAGTGGAAGCCTGTAAGATAAGGCAAAAAAAAAATATTTCCCACTAAAACAAGTGTCAAAAAAAAGTATTAAGACTGTACCCTGTCAATGTTTAAAAAAAACGTGTGAGACCCAGAGACACAAGGCAGTCTTATGAAATCGTGGCCCTGACGGGCTTCGCTGTAGTCTTCCCATTCCTTAGCTTGTCTCTTGACACCCAAGTGCAGGGACGACGTGAAAATGTACCTGGTATGGCTCTTCTATCTAGTCTTTGTAGCTGCAACCCAGTGACCAGGTGTGAGCATGCAAATAAGGTGCTGACGACTCGAACCAGGGGATTGGTCCGTTTTGCCATTCCACTGGGAGGAAAAGGAAGAATGAGCAACCCTGCAACCAGAAACAAAGGCCAGTCACAGAGGACATACGAGACGGGAGCAGAGGAGACAGAGGACGGGAGCAGAGGCGACAGAGACAGAGCAAAGGAGCAGCGCGGAGACCTGAGGCAGAACAGCAGGCTTCCCAGACCTTAGAATGAATAAAACCGAGTGCCTTTGGCCAGGAGACCAGCTTGTGAGCAGAGTAAAGGAAGTTGGAGGGTGGAGGCAGGTCTGACCTCTGTCGCGGAGGAATCGTCCTTGGGCAGGTGTGGAGTCCGGTCTCTTTCGGCCTTGTGTCGGCAGAGGAGGTCAGACATTTTTGCCAACAAGATTTTTGCCAACAAGATTTTTGCCAACAAGATTTTTAATTCATTTATTTTACCTTTTATTGCTTTTGCTTCTGGTGTTATATCTAAGAATCCCTTGTTGAAAAGTAGCATGGGGGGAAAAAAAGAAAGAAAAGTAGCGTGTGAAATGTAAATGTTCTTTTTTTTAATTGTAAAAATGTTGCATGTGTCAGAAAGTCCAAAGATCCGTTGAGCAGAAATGATCATTAAATATCATTTGCCATTTCAACATCTACGTTGAGGTTTTCTTTTTCCTTTCCTTCCTTTGTCATTGCTGGTGCCACTGGGTCCGTTCCAACCCATAGCGATCGTAAGCACAACAGAGCGAAACCCTGCCCGGTTCTGGGCCACGCTCACAACCGTTCCCGTGCCCGAGCCCCTCGATGTGGCCGCTGTGTCCGTCCTTCTCCTCAAGGGCTTTCTCTTTTCCCCCGCCCCTCCACTGTCCCTCTCCAGGGGCTGGTCTCTCCTGACAGTATGTTCAACGTTTGTAACATGAAGTCGTGCCATCCTTGCCTCTAAGGAGCACTCTGCCTGACTTCCTCCAACACAGCCCGGTTTCTCTCTCGGCGGTCCATGGTGCTTTCAGTGCTCTTCCCCGGCACAGCTCAGATGCCTTGATTCTTCCACGGTCTTTCTTATTCGGTGTCCGACTTTCACGTGCATGTCCACCACGTGTCTGTTAGTTCGTCCTACTGGGTTGGCTTGTGTGATGCTGGAACCTCTGTCAGTGGTACTTCAAAGACCAGCAGCATCACCCAAAGGGAACAGGTTCCAGTGGAGCGCCCAGACTCAGAACAACTACAAAGAAGGACTTGGCTCCCCACTTCAGAGGAAGGAGCCGCTGAAACCTTGATGGATAGCTTTGAAACATTGTCAAATACTGAAAGCCTTCCTACCATAGGGATAGATCTTCTAAAAGATGCCTCTTTTTAGGGGCTTGAGGTCCCCTGGGAGACATGTATGATCATTTGATTACTCCGTGTCCAAATTGAACCTTTATTTAAAACTACTTGATTTTCCCAGGTAAGAACATGAGAAACACCCCGGGGTAATGTCACAGTATC